CGGACCGCCCCCATCCAGACGTGCACAGTGCAGCTGCGCCTGCTCACAGAGGACCCCGCCAACCAGCAATATCCTTCAGTGCAGGGCTGGGAGGGGGCTGGCTGGAGGGGGGGAGCGGCTGAGCCCCACAGTGAGCCCAGCCACATTGCAGGCAGGGCGTTTCACTGCCCGTCCCGCTGCCGCGTGAAAGCATCCCTGTGTCTGCTCCTTGACCTGTCACACCACAGCCTACGTGACCTGCCAGGATCTCCGCAGCATTGTGGACCCCGCGGAGCAAATGGTGATGGTTATCAAAGCCCCCCCAGAGACCCAGCTGCAGGTCTCAGACCCAGCGGAGGTGAGCTGGGACCACCCTCTGCTCCCTGTGTCTGCACAGCCCTCAGCAAAGCTCAGCCCAGGCTCCCTTGGGCACTCATGCGCCTCCTTGTCTTACCCTTCTTCTCTTTCCCCAGGCTTTCCAGGTCTCTGTTCGAAGCACTCAGGGCCCCATCGATGTCTTCCTCTGCCCCGAGGACAGCTCAGGGGTCTGTAGCCCTGTCAAGAGCCCCTTCAAAGCCCCCCCAGAGGAGTCATCCCCCGGCCATTCGCAGCCCAGAGCCTCCCCGCTCCTGCATCCCGCCCAGGACATGAACATGCCGCTGCTGCTCGGAGAGCAAGGTGGGTGTCCGGGGCTGGGGCCGGGGGCTCTTGCTGTGCCTGCAGCTGTGAGCCCCTCTGCTGTCAGCACAAGCAAGGAGCTGGGAGGATGCTGGAGCACCTCAGCAAGGCAGGGAGGAGGGAAGGCAGGTTCCTGCTTTTTGGGGCTTTCTGGCAAGTATTGTGGGATTTACGGCTGCTTCCCACCCCCACAGAGACGCTACTGCCGGGGACGAGTGCACTGCCCGGCAAGTGCCCAGCAGAGGAGGTGAGCCTCTCACCGTTGGCCTCCATGGATTCTCTCCTGGAGCAGAGCAGGGAGGATTTTTCGGGTTTCTTGGCGGACGAATTCACCACCCTGTCGCCGCCACAGGCACAGGATTACCACTTTGGCCTGGAGGAGGGCGAGGGCATCAGCGAGCTCTTTGACTGCGACTTTGGGGACTTCACACCCTTGGACTTCTGAGGCTCTGCCAGGACGCTCGCGGGGGAAGCTGCCAGGCAGGGGGGCCCACCCCAGGCTCCTGCCCTCACAGGCAGGGCAGGCAGCCCCTCCAGCTCTTGTCCCCGTCTGTTTTTGCAATATTTTCTTCTTACCCCTCTAGCCGCCCCCTCAGCCTGGTGAGGGCCTGCGGCATCCCTGGCTCCAGCCTCACACGGGGGATGCCAGGGTGGGGGTCCCATCTCAAGGGATGCCCTGTGGGGCCCTGTTTATGGAGGGGGGCTGCCGGGGGCAGGGCCGCTGCCTGCCCCTGCCCCAGGTGCCCGTTACAGAGCTTTAAACAGTCCTGTGTATAGATTTGATTAATTTATTATTGTCCCC